CGCGATTGTGAGCGAAACACGTCCACTTTTCTTGGATTTTATGTCAGTTTTTGGGCTTTTAAACGCGTTTTTGAAAATTTTTGTCTGCCTGGGATGTTTGTTTTCGCAATCAGTATTAATGATGACTGTATTTCCTATTGTTTCAATTATTGTTGTATTACAAACTATATGTAAAGGAAGGAAAATTTTCATTTATTTATTTATTTATTTATGCTAAATGTACGGACATTAACTCAAGATATGAGTGGTGTACACCTCCCAAGCAAAAACGACCCAATTTTTTGGGTTATTTATCTAGATTCAGTTCCACGTGCATCTAGATGTACGTGGAGTTGAATCTAGATAAATAACCCAAAAAATTGGGTCGTTTTTGCTTGGGCCGCACCGAAGTAAACTCAAGCTCACGTGAACGAAGACAAATGTAGTCATCTAATCCTTTTTTTTCGTTTCTAGACCCAAAAGGTTATCGTGCAAGTCAATGGCTGAATTATAATATCAAAATGAACAATATGGTGATTCTAGCTTTGTTAAATGACTTTCTTCTTATGTATCAATTGAAGAATTTTATTTTTTTCTTTAAATAGTGCAGATATTGATCATATTCGAGGAAGTAAAAGATAGATGAAATTAATGGTGATAATAAATCGCGAAATAGACTGGTATTTTAATACGACTTAGGTCAAAAGTTGTACTTAAGATTTTTTGTGAAACAGGCCTGGTATTTATTTTGATTAAAAATGCTTTGGAAAAGAAAAAATCATCATCGACTACTTCAAAAAGCCTACAGAAAGAACGGAACCCTTTTCTAAAAGCATATTTGTAAACCAAAAGAAGAAAAGTTTTTCTTTTTACTTCTTACTACTTATTCGTTCAAGTAATTCTAATATGCAAATAGGACTTAATATTTATGTATAATTTTCTTGATAAATTTAAAAAATAAAGATGTTCATAGAAAAACCATGGTGAAGAAAAAAAGTAAAAATTCATGTTAAAGAAACACGTTATTAAGTGCAAAATAGCGTTTTAGCTTTTGCAAATTGTTGATTCAATAAGACTAAAAATCTATTTTGAGTAGTGTTCGATGAACATGCACACAAAAAAACGTGTCCATACAATTATCATGCTAAAAAGGGTGACTTTATCGTTAATTTCTTTATTGAAAGTCTTCACCTCAAACTCTTCTACTCTTCTTCTAAAGACTCCAGTACTGAGTGGATCGTGGTACGCAAAACATCAACTACATTTGTTGTTCTTCAAATATGTTTAACTTATTTTGCGTGTCAGCAATAGGGAAAACATTGAAGAATGAATAAGAATTTGTTTTTTTACAAGGATCGGAGATGGGCAAATCTGACGAACATTGAGCGTCAAGTCCGACACAATTATCTTTGTCTGCAAAATACACTAACCGGAGAAATTATCATTTCAAGCTCAATCAAACAACTTTCACTATTTTTATAATAACTTTCGCACTCGGATGATAGAAATTAGCTATAGTTAGGAATGAAGATCAGTCGAGACCTTGCTTTTACTCCTCTGAGAATGATATCGGATCATTCGTGATCACTGGCACATTTATTCTACAATTCTATTAAATTTAATAGATGACATTGTATTAAATTTTACTTAAAAAATCTAAACATTTTGCGGTAGTCTTTCGGTTTGTAAAATTAAATCACAACCAACTATTGATGTTAAAAGGATTGCCTATCAACTAAGAATTTTATTTTAAGATAAAATCCTGCAAAATAGATACTTTGTTTCATAATATACTTTCGTTTATCTCTATTTATCTATAAAACAATAATACATATATCCTCTTTTCTTAACGTATATAGCCAACGGCAACTGTTTATGAAACATATTGTGGATAAGAGCATTTTGACAATAGAGCCATATCAAATAAGGAATATCTCTATCTTTTCACTTCTTGGCAAATGTGAGCAAATGTCTATATAGAGAGTATTCTGATATATCGTGTGTATATAGACATTTGCTCATATTTACCAAGAAGTGAAAAGATAGAGATATTCCTTATTTGATATGGCTCTATTAAATTCTCAACAATAAAAAGACATCTACTTCTGCTCATCATTTTTGTTCATGTGACAGTTAGACGCACGAATAACTTTTTGACATTAACTTCCATTTTGTTTTGAAAAGATCAAAGTGAAAACTTTCAAGTTTTTTAACGTATGGCCACGTAGCAATATTGCTCAATTGTATCTATGAGATGTACCCTAGTGAATGTACTGAGCTAAGGGTACCTGAAAAAGTATCCTGCTACTAGTATGTCACAGGAACTTTCGGGTACTGAAGTACCTTAAAGTACTTTTAGGTACGTATAAGGTACTCGGGCGGGTACCCTGTTGCCAAAATTGCAGTATGTTGATGATCGAACCTAAT